TTAAATTGAATCAATCAAAATCAAGAAGAAAGCAGTGAGTAGGTAACGAAAGGAATTGTTCAAGAAAGAAGATCATTAAGAATAACCGATAACTTTTTCCGGCGATCGTCAACAGCTGCTCTTTAGTCTTGTGAACGGACACAAGGCAGAAACTGTCCTCAACAACAAAGATACCGCCAGCTTCAAATATGAAGTACGAAATAAAGAGTTTGTTTGAATTTATGGAAGAAGGTTAAGTGAAGATACGAGGTGAAAGGTTGCCCAGGTGGGGTAGAGGTAGAGGAGGTATGTAGAGTTTGTTTGATAAAGGTGAAGAGGTAGAAAGCAGGATTGGATACGAGGCGATTTTCAATTTGTGAGGTAAAGAGTTAAGCGCGGAGATAATTGTAAAAGCTTCCAAGTTCCCATACAACGACGAAGCTTGGACTCTCTGGCTATATTCGGATCCTATGATTGGATGGTAGACGCAAATATTACTAAAAATCTTTCGCCAACATAAACGCTTGGCTGAACGTTAGATCCATTTCATTTTAACGCGACGAGATCTTGTACTATTGATACCAGCATCAAAAAACTAAACAATTTCAAATACAAATAAATCAAAAGATATTGCCATAATTATATTTCCAAGTACTACGAATAACCTTTCCTTTTTATATCACACAGCGTAAATACGAAAAGGACCACTGGCTTCTCCCTGTCGACCGCCTATTCCGAACAGCACGTCCTTGGTACATACTTTGATTCTTTATCATATTCTGTTTGCATATTCCAAGGGCCATTGCATGCCCACAACGGATGACCGCATAATTTGACACTACGACGACCTTTTGGTCCCGATTATTGCAGATTTGCATCAAATTTAAAGAGTCCAGCGAAATGTTTTGTCTTAGAAGGTAGGTCATACATTCATCCGATTCATTTGGGTCATTTCGACCTTAAAATATCAACACGGAGGGGATGGATATCTTGACAACACAACTAATTCTCTGTCCTGATAGTTGGCTCCCTCTTCTCTTCATCCCCACCAACGCCTCTCCAATCTTCATTTTCCTCTTCTTCATCTGCACTTACTTCCTCAACCGACCCTGCGTATACTGTTCACTCCTTCTCTTAATCCTATTCGCCTCTTCCTGTCACTGGGCCGACCACTGTTTCTTCGACTTCAGCAGTAATTGGTTTCAACCACGCTCCTCATCCTATTCTCTTTCCGAAATAAACAACCAAACAGCCCTCTCAAATGAGATCATAGACAATGTGCTAATGTACGCCGGCGCCTTCAATAAAACTGCAATAGCATTAGCAGGTACGGCACTAGAGGATGCGAAGAATAATTTGGCGAGTAGGGAGTGGACAGGTATTGGGGTTGAGTGGTTGAGGAATTTATTAGGGAAGAGGGAATGGAGGTTGGAATGTGTGGATGTGTATATCAGGCTTTGAATGGGGATACACATCATCTACGAAGCAATAAAATGAAACTAGATCGTTTATATTTGGAGCATTTGGGGAATCACAGGCAATGAGTACAGCAGTATGATCAACTTGTGATGGTCATGGCTGCTGGAGATCATGTGAATCTGATAAACAATTTTCGAGGATGGAATGGATTCGGTTTATAAAGGGATTCGGTTGTTTGGCATAGGTCGGAGCAAGGTGTTAGTAATTTTATACATTACATTCAAGTTGAAGTTGTGATATACAGCGGTGTATTTACAAATGAGAATCAATTTGGCAATTTCAAGAACGTCATTAACTCCATTCATCACTGGTATATTGGATTTTCATACCGTCATCTTTTTTACGTTCACCCCTCACTATCTACTTTTCATTCGCCTTCCCTATAATCCTGCACCCATATGATATCTTTCCATTTTATAATGTCTTCCTATTCCATATCCCATCCTTCACTTCAATATAATTTTCCTCTCTTCTTTCTCTCCATCTCTTCAATTCAATCTCATATCCCTAGCTGCATCCTAGCTAACACCAGTCATCACTCAGCCCTACTCCTCTTTCATCTCCTCTTTTATCAAATTCCTAACCCCTCTTCCACCAATCTCCCAATCTCTCAATCCCGTCAAAACCTCCCTCACTGCATCCAAAACTCCCTCACTACATTCTACCATTTCGATATTACATTTCTATTATCTAGATATCTATATATCATCTCTACCATCCCATCACACTACAATTCCATAAACACTACAATAATCTATCCATCCTACCGCCCTCCATCCCATCATCTACAATCCCACCCCTTCCTCCCCCCTTCCGCTTCCGCTCCGCTTCCCTAGCCCTCTCACAAAACCATCCAGAACCACAACCCACAGCCAAAAGATATCCCACATACTTATCCTCCTCTACTACTCCATCACAACCTATTATCCATTATTAACCACTACCTACATCCTAACATCCCCCACACCTCATATATCTCATATCTCATATCCACACATCCATCAATATAAAACATATAATAGGTAACCATAACTGCCAGTACATTATCAACAAAGGAGATTATTAAGATAATAGACTTTAAAATATAGATTATTTGTGACGGAAACCCCTGCTTTCCTCCCACCCTTATTATATAAGAAACCTCAGGTACATTAACCATGTCCACACATGATACGATTACTCGAGATTAGTATGCGATTTAGGTGACCTGAGGATCAGATCCGGACAAGTACTAGGTATCAATGGTTATCGGTAAAGTAAGATCATTGGAGGAATAAATATGACTTCTTTTTGCCTAGCCATTGCGGCTAGGCCATTCATTTGTGTATATATAGAATAGCTATCCCCATCTACAGGTGCTCTTCACCTGTAGATTCTAAGTTAAATACAATTGCTGGTCTATAAACACCCTTTTGGTCACAATTATAATCCATTCTAATAACTATAATTAAGATTTTTTTCATATTATATATTTATATATATAATAAAACTTTAAGAAAAGAGATATTATATATTATTAAATATAAATTTCTTATTATAAAATTAATTAATTTTAAATATCATATCTTTTTTTTTAACTTATTTTTTGTATATTTTTATATATATTTTATTCAATCTTTAATCTTTAATCTTTTTGTGACCAAAAGGGTGCTTATAGACCAGCAATTGTATTTAACTTAGAATCTACAGGTGAAGAGCACCTGTAGATGGGGATAGCTACTCTATATACACACAAATGAATGGCCTAGCCGCAATGGCTAGGCAAAAAGAAGTCATATTTATCCCTCCAATGATCTTACTTTACCGATAACCATTGATACCTAGTACTTGTCCGGACCTGATCCTCAGGTCACCTAAATCGTATACTAATCCCGAGTAATCGTATCATGTGTGGACATGGTTAATGTACCTGAGGTTTCTTAAATAATAAGGGTGGGAGGAAAGCAGGGGTTTCCGTCACACTTTTATTTTATTTTATTTTTCAATTCTCAATTCTCAATTCTCAATTCTCAATTCTCAATTCTCAACCATCTCACTCCTTCAAGTTATTAGACTAGAAGGCTAAACACTGTAGTACAAAGTTGACATTAGATTTTTCCCCCTATCTTTCTCCTCATCCTCGTTCCTATGTATTCCTTTCCGTTACCGTACCCATCCATCCATCCATCCATGGTCTAAACCAGCTAAACCCATCCTATCCCATCTCATCTTTTCCCATTCAAAGAGACAGTACCTAGTAAATAGTAAATTCCACTAGTTGCCCTCATCTCACATACCTAGGTACCTATACAACTCTTCTCTTCTTTTCTCTCTAACCATCCACATCCCCAATACAAAACAATACAATATATACACCCAAACCACCCCCTCCACAAAAAAAAAAAAGAAAGAAACGACGATATCTAAAAATAGACACGTCTATTAAGTAAGTACCTACTGTGCATATATATTTCGCACGTCCGCACATTTCGAAAACTCCCAATATCAAAGCCAAAGCTAAAGCCAAAGCAAATTAAATACCATCATACTCGCTCGCTCGCTCGCTCGCTTGTTCGCTTCATGCAGTACAGTATGTTCAAGGGTATCAATTCCTCATCTACAAAGCTCTTTATACTCCATACTCCATACTCCCGATCCTTTTGAATCTTTCACTGGATTTCCTTCCTTCCTGCGGGGTTTCTTTCCAGATATCTTGATGAGATTCTGATGATTGTGTACGTAATGTATAGTTTTGAATCATAATACGTTTAAAAGATTTCTTAGTCCGGCTTTTTGGTTACCGTTTGATTGGATACTGCGGGGCATGTGTGGATGTGCTTGTGCTTGAGGTTGAGATTGGGATTGGGATTGGGATTGATCTTGGGTTTCTTGACGTTTATCGTGGATACCGATGGGAGTTTCGGGGATCCATTCTTTTTGTTCGGGGTTCCATCTATGGCTGTGAGAGTGTTAGTTTATGTTTATTTTGATATTGGTAATGGATAGAAGAGGATGGGATGAAAGAGAAAGGGGGAAAAGGGAAGTGAATTAACAAATAAAATGAAAAAACATACCCTTCATGTAATGTTTTCGTTAACGCCCTCGGACTATACTCATCCGTGAGAACCCTATCAAAACTATACGGTACCAATGCGGGTACACCCTCAAACTCCGTCTCCCTCAATGGATAAATATCTCTCGTCCTATAACGATGATAATTCTTACAGCTCCAAATTCCCGGCTGCGTACTAGGACTTACTTCCGCAAGTCCCGTAATATCAATAAATAAGCCATTCCTCACATCGATCCAACGCGCATCAATAACATTCATACCATCTCCTCTCACTCTCTCAACATGATTCGGATTAATATCGAGAAGATATTCTCGAGTGATGGTCGATCCATCCTCGCCTCGTCCGGTATAGTTATGCATCGTCATATTCATATTTTCACCCAACCAGGCCAGAGTCGCCGCCGAAACCTGCGTATCCAAATCCCAATCCCATGGCATAATCTTGCCATTCCACCACCAACCCAATAACGTTCCATGCGCAATCCACGTCTCGATATTGCGCTCGCGGAAAGTGGTTAAGTAGGATTTGATGAGAAATCGGAGGGAATCTTGTTTTTCTTCATAGCTAACGGGGTTTCCTTGAAAATATCGTATGTCGTAATGTCCTAATGAATCATCTCCTCCTGGCTCATGGAAATATTTCGTATCATGTTGTTCGGTTTGGCCTTCGTTGGAATCTCTTCCTTCTATCGATTCTGCCGGTTCTTCATTGGGTCGCGGCGAGGCGTGTGCGAATGAGGTAAGGAGAATTAATGTTGTAGCGACGGCGCCTAGAAAACGTGGAGGGCGCATTTTTATATACGTGTTTTGGTGAATTCCTTGTGTTCGGTTGTGTGATCTCCTAATCCTTCACAAACTCGAAATATGAACAAAGTCTTCCAGGAAAGAATGGTAAAGTTTCCAATTAATCCAATGGATGGACCACGCTAACGAAGCAAAATTGTACAAAAATTAAATAGAAGCACTGTAGTACAAGAGTAGTACCTTGGTGGATATAACGGGGAAGCTTGTCGATATAATAAGCTAGGAATATGCTCGTGTGCCTCACTTCCGAGACCGATAGTATTGCCAAGTAATTATCCAAGCGGCCAAGAAACAACAGTGAAGAGATCTTGGCGTTTTCAAAGCAAAATACGAGACGAATGGAACTTTTCCAGTCTGGCCTTGTGTAAATGATAGGATCTTTGAGCTTCGGGGTAATGCCAGATGCGGGATGATGAAAGCGGCGCAAAGGTCCTGGGTTCGTTGTTGGATGGCAGTGAGAGGGAAATGGAGGTCGCGATAGAGGCCAAGCAATAAGAAGAGAACAAGTCAATGAATGAACGAACCAAGTAAGCAAAATCAACGGAACCAGAAGAGTGATGGAAGAATTTCGAATGATTGGGAAAGATAGGAGTTTTGTGGAATTTTCAATCTGGTCATGATCTAGAAAGGGAACGGGGAATATCTGATCTTAGTTAGGTTGGTTTTTCTCTTTGATATTTTGGAAATGTCATGTAGCCGCGGTAGCGTTTGGAGAGTTTCGTTCACTAGTTTACTGGTTCACTGCATTTTGTCTAATAAACAGTTACTCTCCGTACTGCTTTCATCCAAGTCGAGTTAAATCTACGCGGCAAGTGAAGTAAGTGCAACAAGTGCAACAAGGATATTAGGATGATTACGTAGACAATCTTTTTTTAAGTTGGTGCTTTGATGCAGGGGTTCATTGAATAGATAAGAATATAATATCTTCAATGCGAGTTTTTCTGGAGGGTACGTACTGTGTAGCTGTCTCTGCTAAATGTTAAGTTATCAACTTATTATTCATTCATTCAGAAATTTGGACCATCAAATGTCGAGATATATCCTTCATCTTCAAAAATTACCACATTATAAATATATTTGCAGATCTCTTCTCGACTCTCTCTAAGCCTTGCAAAAAAGCTAGCTTATCGCAACCTTCCCAACCCGAGTAACCGATTTCTCACTCCATACCATGTTTTGTTACGTGCCAAGCACTTGGCACTTTCCCAGCGCTAACACCAACATGGATTAGAATTAAAAAAAGATGCTCCCTATTGACTCCAGCTGCGGATATGCCAGCCGGATGAACATCCCAACATTGACATCAAAAAGCATTCTTCAACGAACAAATTAATAATCCTTCTTCTTCACCTCTAGACTCTAGATCTCACATCCTAAAGTCTCATCACACGACCAACGAACGGCTGAATTCTATTTCTCAATTGTTTATTGTTCATTGCATTGTTCATTAATGAGGGTGACGCAAACATCAAATCCGTTGCTCGCTAAGATATCATCACGATAAATTTCCGTACGCGTCATCTCCATACCTATTCGGTCGTGAAATATAGGATGAGGGGTACGTATGTACTACGGATCCGTTACACGCCTCAGATGATAGCTAGGAGCTTTGTTTATGTTGTGGGAGAAAGTAAAGGTAAGGGCTGCGAAAATGTAGGGGCCACGAAACAAAAGGTTTTTGATGTTAGTATATGCGGTTAATGCAAGTAGAGATTTTCTGTTTTTGATGGAAAGGGGATGGGAATATTGTGATACTTGGTTTAATGATTATCTAGAAGTTGATGTTGAACAAATTATAAAGATACTACTCATCATTCATTCTTATCAAGGATTAATAAACATACCTCAAATATCAGATATCAAAATATCAGAAATATAAATAAAAAATCCATCCCAAGTACATTCTATCCCCAGCCTTCTATATACTTCCAAATTTAAGCCTCACCGGTAAACGCACCGATCCTCCCAACATCAACTCCATACATCTAGACAACTTCCTTCAAGTTCCGGCTAGTAACTTCATGGTCGTGTGCTCACTTACTCTGTATGTATGCTTGGGCCAGCCAGCCCTGTCAATATTTGCTTTACAGAGTATCCAAAATCATGATTTCGGGTAATAGATCGACATGTCTTTTTCACATTGATCTACTTTGACTCTTTGAGTAATATAATTACAGAGCACGTATAGGAAGTACTGTACGTATTGCGTATTGCGTATTGCGTATGGCAACTTATCATCTCCGAGCATCAATCACCGAATGAATGAATGATTTGCTGATGAAGCAATGGAAGTTGCTTGTTAATCTTTTAGTAAAGCAGTAGGTTACAGTGTACAGTGTGGATTATAGATGGGCTCAGGGGTTTGGAAGTTTTAATACTTACTTATATCTGTTAGGTACTCTGTAATTTGAAAATTGAAGGGAGGGAAGGCTAGTTAGATGTATATGGAGTATGGAGTATGTTTGTTCAATTAATCAGTCTGCTTAAAATATGAATACATAGGTATGAATACATATGAATAGACCATCCGATACTCGGCCGAAACCCCACGTTTCTATTCAATTCGTTTACGTTTACTTCGTCTATATCTCGGAGTGAGTCGTTGCCAGCTGAGAAACAAACTCCTGTTATGCTTATTTATCATCAAGCAATTGATAAAATATAAAATATAGAAGCACGCCCGTCGGCTAAGGTTATATACATACTAGGTACTTCAAGTTTCCTACCAAGCTGAACATCTGTGAACAAGGTCATATCATGAAGATGAAATATGAAAGATGAAAATTGGAAATACAAATATATAACTTACCTCTGTACTATTAACCATACCATACCCCACCAACAAAACTTCACAATACATGCAAGTTTATTATTGTATAATACTCATATAAATACTCCGCATATTACACGATAGCATAGGCTATGTATTCTTATATAAGCTCGGAGGAATAATCTATGTATGTAATCGCGGTACTGAGTACATGTTACGAGGTTTGCCGTCTAGATCACGTGGAAGTGCTCTAGGCTCTCGAGGTGGTTTATAACTAGGCGTCAAGCAGGGACTTAAAGTAATGACAATAATGCAATTCGTAACTAATAGTAGAGTATACTAAATGATTGATCTTGAGCACGAAGCTCTATACAAAGGAAATCCATCTTGATTATATAGTCCTTCATGCTTCTATGATTACTAGTGATCCTTCATGATCACCAGTGATCACCTATATCGTGATCCTTAGTGATCCTTAATGATCACCAGTGATCACCTATACCGTGATCCTTAATGATCACTACTGATCATTTGTGATCACGTGTCTTGGTAGTTGTGTAGCCCGTCGTAACAGTACAGTGACTTGAAAAAATAAATCGAATCGATCGAGTTATTTGCTACGAGTACGAGTACGGAGTACGAAATGCTACACCATACCCCTACGGTAACAATTTCGGTATACTGTATAATAGGGTAGGTAAGCTTAGTATAATTCCATAGTTTTTTTTCTTTACTTATATACATATCATATTTATTGTTTTTGTTTATTATTTACTATTTATTATTTATTATTCACATAAAACCAAATATACATCCAAAACTCATTATTTATTAAAACTATTGTTACGATGGTAACAGCTGACTTGTTTTCGTAAGCTTGGGCCATGTGCAAATCGGTTTCGATTCGCTCAATTTACTATGAGATTTCGGTCACCCTAAGAACTCATATGCACGCACCATCAGAGCATATAAACAAGTATGCTGGATCACTCAGGATCACTGGTGATCCAAGGTGATCCAAGGAGCATGAAGATCTATATATTCAATATGAATTTCCTTTTGTAGAGCTTCGTGCTCAAGATCAATCATTTAGTATACTCTACTATTAGTTACGAATTGCATATCATTATTGTCATTACTTTAAGTCCCTGCCTGACGCCTAGTTATAAACCTACTTCGAGAGCCTAGAGCACTTCCACGTGATCTAGACGGCAAACCTCGTAACAACTATCTCAAATATATCTATCTATATAAAAAGACAAATAAATAAATAAATAATCCTACCTAGGTATAGTATAGTATATACTTGAAAGTCCAAAGTTCATCGCTAGATATCCATCCCAAAAACCCCTTCCAATAGAACTTCAAGATTTAATTAGCTCTAGCTTTTAAATTTAGCTTTAACATCAACATCAACATCACCACAGACAACTCAAGGTCAGATACTCTATCTAGTAGAAAGGCATTATCCGCGCGCTCTTGGTCCCGCATTAAAATACTGTGCGGAGTATGAGTTGAAGAATTTGAGAATCTGAAACGTGCTGCTGGGTGCTGGGTGCTGTCTGGGTGCAGCAAAAATAAACTTTCGGTTAGGTGGGGGGAAGGTGCTCGGATAGATAGATTAGGGGGTTTGCGGGATATACTTTGCGGGATGTGATGTACTCTGTAAGGTTTTTGCTTTGTGATTGGCGGGAGGCGGAGGGAGGTATTTGAGGGTTGGGGTTAATGTTGGGGTTGTGGTTGCGGTTGGATTGTTCTAGATCTGATCTGGAATTTATTGGGGCGGTGGATTGTTGGATTGTTCTAGAATTTTAGAGTTTGTTGATTGTTATGTTGTTGGATATAGATAGGATGGAAAGACTTTGGAGTATTTGAGTATTGATAGAGAGGATTTGGGGGAATGGGAAATGCTGGATGCGTTTAATGTTATGAGTTGAAATTCGGAGTAAGCTTGCTTGATTGGATTTTGTCCAGTTTAGTTGCATGTGCATTAATTCATCGGTTTTACGACGGTGAGAGGATATTTTTCTTATTCATATCTACAGTGTAGTATGATTACTCCGCTCAGATTATTTGATTTGGTATTGAAAGTTTAAGTTTAAGTTTGGCTTGAATGACAAGTAGACTGAGAGCGGGGTATTGCTTCGGGATGCGGAGAGTGGGTGGGAGGTTATGATGATTGACAAAGTATGATATTTTGTATGAAAGTCTCGAAGAAGAGTATCCAGAATAGGTTGAAACTAAATGGGATGTAGCTGGTATGCGGATCTGGAAGTCCATATTGCGTGGCAAGTTGAGTCTTCAGACCACTACCTTCTGTCTCTTCAAAATTGTATGTGTGTGGGTGGTTTTTTGAGGTCAGGCGAATGTTTTTATCTGTTTTTGGCGCTATGGGTAAGGGACGGATACATGCTGTGATCACAAGCAGAGTTGAAGTTTTCTTGACTTTATTGGGATGATAGTCTTTCTTTGTTTTGGGTCATGGAGCGACCGAGATATGGTTAAATATCTAAAGATGAAAGTAGAATGGGAGAAGGGCTTGCGCTTGATGATTTTACGTTGAAGTTTTGCATTGCTGAATTTCCGGTGATTCACCATATCAAGTTATTGGGTTTCTTGAGACCAGAAAGAGCATTAGATTGAATTGATTGATTCTCTAGCTAAGCAGTTAAGCTGCGAGTATATATTCAAAAAATGAAGGAATAAGGTTAGGTATTCAGCCTTCGGAATTAAAGTGCTTTGAAATCAAAATATTGAAAGCAAACAAACAGTATACCAAAAAGGAAAGAATGAATTAAAAGTTGAGTTTTGTTTGCTCCTTATATGCATATGCTGCCAAGATCCCAGGAGGTCAACACAAGTTCACCATCTCTCTCACTAATCTAAGATAATATCTTTCATTCTCTTAAGTTGACTTTGGTATTTTATGCCCTTTGTAGTTCATCTTCTTTGGTGCGCTTGAAGCTGTTCTATTCTGATAATGATAGGTTTAATGTTGAGTGTTATGTAAAGTATTCAGAAGAGTGTAAATGTTCATCGTGGTCATCATAAGGAACAGTGAGTGAGCAGCAGACATTAGTCGAATCAATATAAATGAAATGCAATGATCCATTGCAGGAAGTCCAAGCGAATTCTCCTTGAACTCACATCAGTTCCTACAGTATGGAAGAAAACCCTTTCCCCTCAATCCCTTTTCCTATAACCAGCATCATCTACGCCATACTGTTCACCTGCAAATCTTTATGCATCTCAATCTTCCTCATAGGGTCACTCACATCCCTGCGAAATTTGGCTTGTCGTGCGACCCATCTACTTGTGCCCAAACAATATTGGTGAGTCTCCCTTCCACTCGCCAATTATTTCGCTAGTGGTTTTAGGCATTTATGTATCGATATCGCTGTTAACGGGCTATGTGATACTCGGAGACTGGTCAAAGTGACGAGGATGAAGGGGAGGTGAGCACATATAGTGTAGTATAATATTTTATTGGAAACATCACTAACATTATCTTAAGTATGTTGATGCTCATTCCGAACATCTAATGAAGAAACCCTTCAAGCAAGAATAATAAAATCGTTTCCAAACTCGTAAATTCCGCCTTTTTGCCGTTATGCCATGGTTTAGTTTCTTGTGAAGATATATATCTTCAAACGAAATGTTCTCATATCTCGAGATAAGTTTCGCAGAACTTCGGGGCAGTGAAATCTAATGGGTAGTTAGAGCTAACCTGGAGTATTGTTATTATTATCGAATGAATAGCAAATTCCATTTTTCACTACTGCCGCTAAACTCTACTCGATCCAAACATCACAAGAAGTAGGATTCATGCAATAATTTCTTATTGGAATTCCATCACAGATCCATGGAAAAAACGTGTTGTATCACCAAGGGGCATATACATACCAAACCAAAGTAACCCGGGAATATAATGATCCACTCCAGTCTTCGAATCATTTTCATATCCGAATGCGTAGCCAAAACAAACCCCTACTTGCTTCTCCAGGCACGGAAGGCGAATGTTTGATTTAACACAAGCTGTCCTCCTATTGCAAAGACCATCTGAGCGTCGTACTGTAAATGTACCCCCATACTTTTCAACAAGCAAAGTTATCCTCCTACTAAATGAAAGCGTGACAACTTCACCCATCACAATTGAGGCTAAACCACCAACTCATCAAGGCGTCATTCGCCCCAGCATTCCCAATCCCCAATATGAATATACAAGCTAAACGCACAGTTTGCCGAGTCCAATATCCAGCTAACAACAAGATCAGCAATGCATACATATAGTATTAACTCGCAAACAATCACCCAATCGCTCCTGTGAGCCCGCACTGATACGCCAAATAATACCATGGATCCAGAGTTCTAATCAGCTTATGCTCATAAAAATTCTTTGATGTTTTCAAGGCTTGCCATTAATTTCAATATGGAAGGGAACGGTGGGTGTAAAAGATCAACCTAAAAGAAAAGATCTTCGATGACTCTGTCCACACACACTCGTGCAATATCTGGTACCGAAAATTTTCACCAAATGATGATAGAAATCAAAATGTCCGTGTAGCTTTCAAGACAGGGGGTAAATTTGCTTTATTGACCTGCGAAATTCCGTCTGGTGCGAGGCTTCATCACGAATCAGTCTTGCCTTGCTTCAGAGTATGTTGTCCTTCCTTGTACAGCGAGGGTGTAACCCATACCTGTTTCTCACCTCTCCATCAACGGAATAAAGTTCACCAATCTCACGCAATGCACTGCAGAAAATCATATTATAGTAGCTATATCGAAAGTGTATATATACATGATCTTAGCTAACACCAATCAATGAGTTCAATAGACATTATAACGTACATTTTGCTGTAGTAATAATCCCCGCAAATAGTTCCTCCGAAGATAAATTGAGCTTCCCATAACCATTCTCCAGAAATTCTATAAATCTTCAATATTGCAGATGCAATTATTAACTAGTATTCAGCCATTCCTGTGTGTCTCCAGTATAGTACAATGCTTCTTGTGAGCTTAATCTTAACTTTCCTTTTTGACAAGACTCCGGAAAACGCCAAATCCACCTGACAGTTCGTAACTCCTCGAGGGAAAATGTAAAGGAAATAATTAGTTGCATGGACATGAAAGAGGTCAGCCATTGCCATTTACCCCCAAATTATAGTACAAAAATGACGTAGAATCGAAGGAGATTCCATCCGTAAAACAAATCCTGGGCTTCTGATTGGTTTGTATGATGCAGAACCTGATCAATCCCAGACAAAGGTATGCAATACTTCAGAGTGCAGCCCAATAATGAGAGGATTTCGATTTTTGGGTTCATTTTAAGATTGAGATCATTCAGAACATTGAATCCATTTCAAACCAAGAGTTCATTCAAATGCTCAGGGATGGAGAAATAGCTGGCTTGGATCGAGCGTTAGTTTGTGCGTTTCGTGAATTCTATGACAGGTATTTCCAGTGCGTAGCTCGTAGTCTTTCTGTAATCTCTTGAACCTGGTCTGGAACGCAGCGGTAGTGAGAATCTTCCATTGAAATCTCGGTAAATTCCACACAGAGCCATTTGCGATGTCCTGCAATCTCTTCCTGTTGAGGCGGTCCATGCAAAACTTCAGCTCGAGTAGATTTACATTCTCTTGAAATAATCCTCTATGAGTGTCACTAAACCTCCTCTCAGGTGAAAACATAAGCAGCGCCTCGTTGATTTGAATTGGCTCAAATAGCACTGGCTCATTGTCGTTCTGACTGGAGGACAATCCGTTCTCATGACCATAGGGTAGATGATTATCTACCACAATTGTTAAATCTTCAACATTGCAGAACAATTTCAGTAGTTTGGCAAGGTCTTTAGTTTTGACATCTCGATCATCAATTGTTGAAGCCCTAAGATTGGGACGAAATTGAAGAGCAAGATTGCGAATTTTACGTGCCTCAGACGGTGCCATAAAGTGGCGTTTGTCGCCCTCAGGTAGAATTGCAAACTGAATCTGCTTTTCCGAAAGAAGCAAGATATCTCTTTCGTAATTAAAGTAAGTCTCAGCAAAAGACCATTCATATGGAAATGCTCGTTGGTATCTTTTGGATGCGACCTCGTGTGATTCTTTGCAAACTAGCAATAAGCTAGGAATTTTCGCTTCTGATGAGAAACCAAGTTGATCATCATCTTTGATCCGTGTCCGAACCACACCGATAACGTCCATATCTGCTGGTAATACACCGTCCATGCCGGTGCAGGTGGTCCCATTTGAATGAGGATAATCATCATTTTGGCATCTATCTGGCACGAACATATCTGATCGTACTCTGACCATCGCATGCTCACAACGAGAAGTATTGTATGTTTTCAAAGGTACGACCCGAGGATCGGGAATTGCCCATTCCCATATCAGTAAACGAAGTTCGACTGGGATTCGTGGGAAAAGAGGAAATGAATTAGAGGTTTCATCTGGTGTATTGTTTTGGGACTGGCCGAGACCATCACCACGCATTTGTTCAAAATAAAACGACATACTCGAGTAGTTGATTGTGAGTTTGTTAATTTGAGAAAAATTCACGAAGAGGTGGGAGTACTAGTTTAGTGCCCTTGATCTTAGTTCTAGACCACGTGACTCCGTATTTCTATTGTAGCATAGATGTCGTGACCACATTGCAAGCGATGAACGGAAGACCTAAATCTGACACCAATAATACACCTATGCCTAATGATTTTCAATGTCCTTCCTACTTAATTCGGATTTCACGATCAAGGATTCTCTCGAAACTCATGCATAGAATTTCGGAGTGAGGATATTTCGGTATAACCTTAACCTACCGAAATATACTCATCCGTCGGTTTCATGCATCTATCGCTTTTCATGTATATGAACCGGCAACGCCTTTATTTTTGAGGGCAGCTTGGTAAGTATGATATCATAAACTCCGAGAAACATATCTTTGCGCATTTTGAATAAGTGGGATCAACCATCCCTCAGCTTGTATTCATTTGTGCTGAAAATGGCGCTGAAGTCGCACAATGTAACATCATGCATCATCTTATC